GAAAGCAGTGAAGCTGCAATGATGGAGACAATGTTTCGAATCTATGTCATTTGCAAAGAAGTTGCAGAGCCAGATGATAAAACGAAAGATGTAGGTATCATTCTGGAGGGTGTGCAAGTTCTGGATGAGTTGGAAAATGTTCCACTTGCTGTGGTCATGTTGTTCGCACTTGTATACGCTCTGAATCTCAGCTACCCTCCAGAGCTGAGATACACGTTTGAGGCTTTGCAGAAAATTATAATGGAACTTGATGGAAACAGACTCTCCAAAAAAAATCAAGCACTGAAAACTTTACTTGCACGTTAGTCATCATCAATAGTGACCTTGGAGTTACTCTTATGGGAAGGCAGTTGTGAAGACATTTGATGAGTAATTTGTTTTTAAAAAATGGCAAGCTGTGTTTGTGTTTTACTACTTACAACTGTTGCTATTTTTGGGTTAGAAAATAGAATAATATTGTGAAATGTATCTTTAAAAGGAAAAAAACTTATTTTCAAAAGGAAACTACTGCATATTAAAGTGCTGAATGTGAAAAAGACACAGTATAAGGATGCACAATACTATATTTTCAGTTTGTCCTCAAACATTTTTCTTTGCATTTTTCTTTTTTTACTGATTTTTTTGCTGGTCTGTCTGCTTAAAAAAAAAAAGACGACAATGTACAGTCAGTAGGACTTTGAAGTCTGCTTGTTGTGTTTTCACAGCAACATGTTTTCTAGCATTCGCTAAACCAGTGTTTCCTTTTCTGGTAAAGTTTTATTCCAACAAATCCTGTTTGCTTTGTGTTTTTCTTTTCCAAACTTCACACCAGCTGGGGGTGAACTATAGATAAACTTATGTTTGAATGACTATATAAACACTTTTCTGAATAATATTCTATTATGTTACTTTTCTTATGATTACAAAGGTCGTCTCTTAGCCTAAAGCATTTCTGATGAATAAACATAACTTTGTTTTGTTGGATTAGCACAATTAATACTAATGCTCACATGTTGTATTATTTTAAAAGGTAGTCGTAACTACCCAATGAAATTAAGTAACTCATAACCCTATCATACAAGTTTAAATGGCCAAATAAAACCAAGTCACATCCTACTTTTGTAAATATGTCACATTTACCCATACCAATTTAGTTGGACTGAACCATGTTAATTAACTAACAATAACCCCAATACATCAGGTTAACCCAACATATTTATAACTAGGTCAGTCAAGGAAATTCTCTCTCGCTAAATTAAAGCATTTGATTTAGGTGGAAATTCTTTCCATAATTTTATTACGTTCACCTAACAAGTTATTTTTTTCAGTGGGGACACTGGCTAACCCTCAGCTGTATGGTGCTTTGGATACAAAGTGCCTGCTAAGTGTGATTAATGTTAGTTTAATGCATTACTCGTAACAATGTTAGAGACGGCAATATAATCAATGTCAATTTTGCACTTGGATATTTCTAGAGAATTTACTCTTAGCTCAGTACAGGATATACAAGAGAGTAACTCCTTATCAGAAGGCCTGATTCTCAACTGCTGAGGTACAGGCTTCCTGTTACACTGAAATAATCCATTGAAATGCAATGAAATTCAGATTAAATATTTGTCAATTTCACTCTCAATTTTCCCACAGAAGCCTTCAAAACCCCCACTAAACTCCTACAAAGACTCCTACACAAGTCATGGGCCCATGACTGAATTCAGGTATGTCCCAGAGCACAAAAGACAAAAGTAGAATACATGTAAAAAAGTTTTTTTTTTACTTTGAGAAAAACAAAAAGATACAATATATACAGCTTTTCATATAAAACCAGACAGCAGTAAACAATAATGTGTCAAAGTACTAACCCTCAAAACCATTCTTAAAAAACAAGCCAATCAAATGTACAGAAGACAATGTAAAGAACACATTGTGTTCTCTGGAAGACTTAACCCAAGGAAACGGGAAGGGGCAGGGGGTCTGAAATATGAATATCATAACTGACAAAGTACTTTACTTTCCAAACAGTGAATGCAAAAAAAAGTAACCAAACTTTTCCCCCCCCTTTGCATAGCCCAAATGTGCTGTATACAACATCTACCAAAACTATGGTCACTCCTAAAAGCACAAACACTTGACTTTGACTTTGAGAGTAGAAAGCAGACTGAACTACAAAGTGTAGTCAGTGAATTAAGGCATCACACAAATGATCATTTTCATTACAATAAATATGCAAATAAAAAACATGGCAGAAACAATATGGTCATAAACATAATTTGGGGTGTAAATCATTGACAAGGCAATTATCGAGGGAACGATTCAAGGCATCATAAGTCTGTAATGTCTAACATGATTCATCAATTATTTTTATAACCTAAATCCAAACGGTTTTCACTCAATTTCACAAATAAACGGAATTGAATTACACACTACTAATGGAATCCAAAGGTAGAATCTAGGAACATTAATCTTTATCATTTTTAATAAACAGAAAAAAAGAAATTTTTCCCTCAATGCACTGAACTGTGGGGGGGGGGACGAAGGAGGCGTGTAGCTGATTGGGTGGCAGTGGGGGTGCTGAGATTGCCAATGCACATTACTAGAATGGCGTAATATGTTTCATTTTATTTTGTGCAAAACAGAAAGCTTGATCGGCAGCCCAGAGTCAATAATGAACAAACATGGCCAACTGCCATCTATCATTTGAGAATTGTGCATGTCGGCATTATGACTTTGCGTGTCGGATTGCAGCACATGAATGCAAAAGCATGCAACCTAGTAGAATGTTTTTATTTTACCCCCAAATATTGACTGACACCGATGCATTGAATCGCTACCTTAATAACCAATTGACCACGATGTACTGATGCATTTTTACACCCCTAAGCATAACTGATTACTAAATAGAGATATTACACTTTGTGTCTCCTTAAATTAAGTATGTAGATGTGTTTGATCTCAGCATTTGACAGATTCAAATACCAGCACAGAAAAAAATAGCTAAATTTAGCTGATAGGTTATGTATCAGTGTTTGATTATTCAGGTCGTTTTTGATACACATGCATGTTTAATATGACCAAAGCAGTTCCTGCAGAGGGACAATGCATGGTCTCATTGTTGTATCGCTGGGCGTTGAGTAGCCTTGATGAAAATGTAATGATACAAAAGACAGGAGAGGCTACTGAAAAACGAAAAAGATAGATGTAACTGACCTGAACACAACATAGCATAACATTTGAAAGTGAAATATGGCTGACTCAATTGCACAAAAAGGAAAAGAAATGGGTTGTTCATGCAGAAATGTCAATGAAAGCCCCTGATTTGGTTAAATAATCCCGTTACGCTCTTCTCCATATCCCTGAGAGCACAAGTATAAAAAAGCTTTTTATTTTCCTTGCACTTCAATATTGAAACCGCATAAACCAGCAAAGTGTACGTGAAGGGGGCTGTCAGCTGTGCAGCACTGCGACCACAATTTAGCTGTGGGTTACAGTTAAAAGATGTGGACTCTCCCAAAATTATATCAGATACCAGCACGCTTTCTGAAGCATTCGGAAACCATGGTGTTTGTGTGTGTAGGGGGGGCATGACACTGACATTTCAGTACTAGAAAGTAGTAGAGAACCTCGCATCAAGTGGTGGGATCAGCCTTGCAACAGGAGTCAGAAGTAGCAGATGCCATGTGCCACGTCTTGAATTTCAGAAAAAGCTACATGCAAACTGAAGTCATTGGAGGAAAGAGTGAAGAGAAGGCATCACTTTTAACCTGCCCCTTTGAATCTGAGTGTCAAAACTCAACAGCATTAGCAATATTGGTGTATGCGTGTGTGTGTGTGTGTGTCCGTCTGTCTCTCAAATTGTAGTACTCTACATTCCATTTTGGACAAATATCTCCTTGGTTTGTGTGTTTTCGTAGGTAGTTACTCAGAGAAGAGGAAAAAAAACACAAACAAACACACACACACACACACACACACACACACACACACACAAACAAACGATCACAATGTGCCAAAGTGTGGGCCTTTGACACCACTGCAGACTTCATCTAATGGACACACCGACCGAGACCCCACCTACTCTTCCCCAAGAGGCATCTGGAGATAGAGAATGAGAAAACAGACCAGACCATAACAGGCCCTGAGGAACGTTCAGATTGGCTCTTGTTGAAACCACAGCTTGCCCCCCAACTTCTATCCTAGGGCTGGCCCACTGGCGTTCGGGTGTCGGTCACAGCCTGCAGGGCTTCCTCTGGGAGCAGACTGGGGTCAGTGAGGATTGAAGTGCTGACACTCAGCTGCCGGAGAGTGTGCAGGACCACTGAGGGAGCAAGCGCACGCAAAACAGGTTATTAATACAGAGCAGAATATTAGCTGGAACAATTGACCACAGAAATATAGCTGTTATACTATCACTTCTATCTGGGGGAATTTATAAATTCAGTTTGTACACTTTTCTCATCCCGTGACATTTATGCAGTAAGCAAACAAACCACTGTTTCAGAAACCCAAGCAAAAATTAAAATTCACATTTTGTGAATATCAGATGTTCTCATCTATACCAGACAGGAAAGTTTAGAACAGCAAAAGCAGAGGAAGCAGAAAGACTGTTGTTGCACTTGTTCAGATAACCCCCTGACCTACTCTGCTGATTCATACAACTCTTTGATCTTCTGATCCTTGAAAGATGATTCAGCAAATCAGTCAAAAATAAATAAAATGTAATGAGAAACTGCAGTTAATATAGCAACCAGTCTAAACTTAGTGCCTGAACTCCAGACAAATTAAATGAGGCAGGAAAGGCATGGGGCCTCAAACTTCAGTGAAACATACATGAAATTACCACAAATATCTGGAAAACTCAAGCCATAAACACTCCCAGGACAAGCCCAGAAGCCCCAGTTCTGTGGATTCCTGGCCAGCACCAATAACATAAATGGCAGACAGTGATTTCACAGGCAAATTGAAAGTGTATCATTGTTATAGTCCTTTATTAATAAATATATAAACCTATAAACCTGAATTACTTAACCTCAAAAAGCTTCACGACATAGAATTTCCCAAGAATTACACCCATACTGATAACATCATGCCTATAAAATAAGCCGTCAATATTCCAAAGTTTTATTCAGTACCAAACCGGGGGCGGGGGATGACACCACTGCTAGCTATTATGTAATGGAGATGACACTTTAGTTGAGCCAGAAAATAATAATAGTACTCAGAACTTACTCAGAACATCTATGACGCAAGTGAGAGTGCAGCATGGCCATGATTTATTCATGTGGCAAGTTAGCATGTTAATCTAGGTAACATTTTATTAGCACGAGTACTGCTATAGAGTGTGGCCTGTCCTCTAGAGAGCATCAGAGGCCGGGAAAGTGGTGTGGAGACGGCAGATGCTCACTGGGTCTCAGGACAGGCAGGGAGCAATGCTGCTCCAGCCACTGCATGGTGGTCTGGTATAGTTCGTCCATGCTGGTGGTGGACACGGTCCTGTTGAAGGACTCGAAAAGCGGCTTGAGGATGATGCTAAACTGGAGGGAAATGGGTCAAGGCTCTCACTTCTTGGTGATGAATTTGCAGCAAGGATATGGGCAACAAAACTTTCCTCTAGAAATGACTGCACAGACCTGATTCATGCAGTTGCCCACCACTTCCCCTCTAAGTGTGAAACATCACGTCCTAGGTGTGACTAAATCAAAGAAGCATACAATTTGCAGAAATGAGCTTCAGTCCTGCATAACACAGAACTGCAGCTGCACTGGATTGGTATCTCAGTATTGCGCTGTTCACAACAGGTGCTTTCACACCAAAGTTCCAGAACCTGGTTTACAAGTCCCTGGGCTGTCTCAACTGCTAACCCTTACAGCTCCTAGCCACTTGCCTGTGTTGCTTTCACACCACACAACAGGAACTAGGGCCTTTATATTAAATAAGCATGGGAGAAAGAAAAAGTTCACAGGTGAAATAGGGGGGGTGATCGCGATAAAGGGACACAGCCTTTTATTTTACTTGTATGTCTCACGACATCTGGTTACTGGTGGGTGTAAGATGGTTACAGAAAAGAAAAGGATACAATCCAGAATTTCCAGTTCTGGAGGGTTCTGCTTCTGACATACTCGTCGAACTTTTCCCGCATGTGGTCGAAGCGATGCCGAGTTATGAGCACACCCGTGGCAGGAAGCTGCTCTTGACATGAGCTTCAAAATGAAGGGACAAAAATAAAGTCTCTAAAACGCCTCAAGGAAACATCACACTTAAAAATTCAAATATAAAAGATTCAAGAAAAAAATCCACATTTGAATAACTGGTTAATAACCCAATTCGTGCGCAGTTCATTCCGATCCTTCTCGATGTTGGTTCAACATATGAATATCAGTGTCATATTACAATACCAAAAACTTTAAATGGTACTAGCCATTTCACTAATTGCCATATTTGATAAAAATGTGCTTAATATCATGTAGTGGACATTCCAAATCTGCGCTTTGCAGAGAGACACAGTCATACTTATTTCTCTTGTGCAGAGAAGCTACGAAGATGGAAGATGGAAACCACGGATGCCCACTGCCCGCCTCTAACTGATAAGCAGGGTGGCAGAAGTGAGATATGGCGTTACTTTGCTCTGTGGTTTCGTTCAGTTTAAAAACAGTCAGCCCTAGTGTGCAAATGCGGTTACAAGGGAGCAACATTAACTTGGCGAACCTGTCGATTTATATACTGAGTTTAAAGAATGTCAGGTGTGCAAACTTTGCTATCAATCCAACTTTCCTAAAGCATGGAGTCAGTACAGCTCTTCTTGCAAATAACATACATCAAGATGGTGCTCGTAGCACTACTCAAGTGTGCCCAAAAATCTCAGAAAAACGGGAGCATTTTCAAAATGTCCATGGTGGTAATTCTATGCAAAAACCAATCACTTGAAAAAAAAAAATACTTGAATATTCAAATTTGAAAATATTTGACAGCTGCAGTCTTACTATGAAACCCAGTGGCTATTCCAGGATTTTATCCCAACTGCAAAGTATCACAATATTCCTCCTCTATATTCCATCTTTATTGTGAGTTTGTAACAACTGTGCATTGTCAGCTGTGAAGCAGAACTTTTTTTTTCCCACAAAGGAGTGATGCACCTTACTGCTGACAAGCCAGAAAGCAGCATTTTCACACCCTGGCTGGGGGTGTTACACCCTGACCAAACCCCACTGACACGTCACATACTTGATGGAGCTATTTAGCTCTTCAATTTCCTCCCGGAGACGTCTGGTTTCTTCCTGTATCTGCAGCCTCTCCTGCTGGAGCTTGCCGATGTACTCCACTGTCTTCTGTAACGTTGCTGCATTGCTGATCTGTTTCAGCATGCAAGTACGACAGGGACAGCGGAAAACCACAAAGAAACCAAAGATACAAATCAGACACTCCTAACTAATATTAATATCATACTTTAAATCAGATATCTTGGACTTAAAATATATTTGACAATGGTGTAGAACAGCGGTTCCCAAACTGGGGTACGCGTGCCCTCTGGGGTACGCAAGAAGCTGTAGGGGGTACGCGAGGGAGCAGTAGGGGGTACGCGAGGGAGCTGTAGGGGGTACGCGAGGGAGCTGTAGGGGGTACGCGAGGGAGCTGTAGGGGGTACGCGAGGGAGCTGTAGGGGGTACGCGAGGGAGCGGGGGGAATCACGAATTCGTGCAACGAGACAGTCAGTAATTCTCACAACAGCGGAGTCGGTGACCTCCAAAAAAGCCGTAAAACACAAAATACAGTCGTGTTTATGTCATATGTTTTTGT